CCTCCAATCATCTGTCAGGCTACATATACCGCTCAGCCTGCCCCACTTGTTTCAGATCGCTCGATGCAAGACAGACAATGACCCACCTTCAACAGCACACGCTCAACAGCATGCTGTTTCAGATTGCTCGACCCACCCTCCCTTTCCCTTCATCTATTCATCCGCTCATCTTTTGTTCCCTCTGTCCTCTCTTTCCTCATCCCTTCATCCCCGCTTCCCTGCTCCCTTCATCCCCTCATTTCTTCCTGTTCAATCAGGGCACAGCTCTCTCATGTCTCATCTAGGTACCGTCCGGGGGGCTTGAAATAAGCTCGGGAATAAACACTTCCGAGACGGAACCCCCACACTGAGTCTCCATGCCCAGTCTCCTGTACACCCTCTCAGACCAGCCTATCAGACGACATCAACACCATCACCCTTCCCCTCTAAATGCATTTATCCATCCTCCATAGTCCATGCATTCCATATTCGCATGTACCTCTAAATCACACATTGTTGTGGCATGGTCCTTGCTAGTGAAATGACCTACTAATTGCATCAGACAAAGGTTCTTAGATCTTAGTGCTGCATTTGATACCATTGACCATCAGATCCTATTACAGAGACTGGGACATTTAATTGGCATTAAAGGAACCGCTCTAAGCTGGTTTAAGTCCTATTTATCAGATCGATTTCAGTTTGTACGTGTTAACAATGAATCCTCCATACATGCAAAAGTTAGTCATGGAGTTCCACAAGGATGTGAAGAAGAAGAAGAAGAAGAAGAACGTACTATATTGTCACATACACATAGCAAAATTCATCCTCTGCATTTAACCCATCCCTGAAGGGAGCAGTGGGCAGCTACAGTAGGCTACTGCCAGCCACTGAGTGGAGAACCTTCATAACATGTTTTTGATGGTGGGGGAAACCGGAGCACCCGTAGAAAACCCACACAGACACGATGCACCACCGTGTGCTCGGACCAATCCTGTTTACTTTATATATGCTTCCTTTAGGCAATATTATTGTCATGTTTGGCTGAGGGAAGGGAGGGGAACTGAGGAGTGTGGACCCATATGCAGATAACGGCAAGGCGAGAGGAGGATGCTGTTCAAAATAAAGTTTTTCAAGTAAACTAAATAGGCTTACATGGAAGCTCAGGGCAAAAGGTCCAAACAAAGCAGAATCCAGAACAAAGGTAAATCAAACAAAGAGTAAATCCAAGGAACTCAGGGTAATCCAAAAACTGGGAACAAAGCAAGCAGAACACTCAACATCCAACGACAAGGACGCCACATAGACAAAACTGAACTGAGGGTTCACCGCCAGGGTTCATTGTATACCTATAACACCATAGCGGGTAAAATCTACCCGCTATAAAAATGCAGTGATTTTGTGATTATTTCTGCTACATGTTGCTCCAACACACTTTGGGAAAGATTTAGCACATTGGCTGTGCATTTCCTATAAACACCATCCCCATATTTCAGGAATTGACAAAAAGTTTATTCCATTCTATTCATTGTCTTCACCGTGCAGGTGCGCTTGCGCTGCGCATCTGTGAAGGGCACGTTCACAAGCGGCAGCTCTTTTGATGTCATAGATGTTATAACCTAGTTATATTCTAAACACAGCTTGAATTTAAATGCAGCATACAATTTACAAAAAAAGACTGACTGTTGTTATAATAATAGCCTGATTGTCGGCTAGTTCTTACTTTTCTGCTTGTTTTTTCAGACTCCATCGGGCATCCAGAGAATAACACATAGCTACAAAAGTTTGAAAGTCCAAATAAAAGTAGGCTATTTATTAGAAAGAAATGATTATTATCAACTCCAAAATTCATAGTAAATTTTTACCCAGTGGAAAGATGTATAATGATCACTTTTACTAAAAATTACACAGCACTGGAAAAGTTATAGCCGGTCAAAAAGCACTGGAGGGAGCCGCACGCTGTCTTGAAGGGACCGCAGAACACACCTCTATCACAGGGAAAAACTAGACCACTGCAGCATTAGTTTTGATGATCGTGTAGCCTAAACAAAAGCTATAAGCAGCAGCTTTCATGCATGTTTACTTCACACAAGTGGATCACTGTCAGATAATGGCCGTCAGATGCAGAATCAACACAGATTTTCAAATTCAAATTAGCTTTATTGGCATGAATGTGTAACAACAATATTGCCAAAGCATCATACAAACTACGTAAGAACAATCAACCCCATACATTTCATTAAACAAGTAATTAAAGCGTAAAGTAATTAAAGCGTAAAAATTCAAATAAAATAAATAAATAAAACAGTAATTATGTGTGTGTGTGTTAAAAAAATAAAACTATGTTAAAAATAAAATAAATAAATAAACCAGTAAGTGTGTGTGTGTAAATTTTTTTTTATAATAAAAATTAAAATAAATAAATAAAACAGTAAGCGTGTGTGTGTGTGTGTGTGTGTTTGTGTTAAAAACATAAAATATATTCAAAATTACAATTAAATAAAGCAAGTGTAATGCCTGTAGTGGGAAAGGCGTTGCCAATAGCAACATAGAATGTTTATCTAAACCCACGACATGAACAGCATGAAAATTACTGTATTTTATAAACTGTACCTGCTGGCGCTTAAAGGTATAAATGCACTTTTTTAAATCTGGCTTTATCTTGACATTTCTTAACAACAGAGGGTGCTACATAACACACTTTTAGGAAAAGCCAGAGACTGGGGGACTTGAATATTATATTGAAACAAAGATACATACAATCAAAAAACAGCTGCGGGTAAATTTGACCTGTTGGCGGTTCTAGTGTTAAATGCACAGCCAAAAGATCAGGGAGGGAGTGCACAGGTGAGACTCATGAGGAACTAATTAGGCACGCAGACAGACAGAGTGAACAGGGCAGAGTGAAACAGGAAGGCGTAGAAACCAGACAGACCATGAAACCAAAACAGAGTCAACCAGAATACAGAATAAACCAAAAACACAAGCAGACAGATCCATAAGAAAAAGTACAAAAAACAGGTAGGTTATAAACTGAATATAGAATGAACAAGACTAAAATAAACTAACAGAACAAGAACAAAGCTAGACGAGAAACACTGATGATAACAAAATAAAACAGGAAGCAAAGCATGCGACAATACTCAAGGATGGACAAGACATAAATAACTAAGGACAAGGAACACGAGAAACAGAGGCAAATAGAAAGACACATGAAACAATGGCAAAATCAGAAACACAGGGAAAAATACAACTCAAACATAACCCAAAACAACTCTTATAACAGTACCCCCCTCTTAAAGGGATACTATGCAATTCTGCCAAGACTGTGTGGCTGCAGCCTGGAGCCTCTCGTCTCATGCCCTCCCGCCTGGTGCCTTCCGCTAGTTTCTATGATGCAAAATAAAAACTCACGTCTGGTTCATTCTGTCTTCCTCGTACTTTGGTGTTTTTGAACTGAATAGTTACTGTTTTCCACCAGGGCAGTAAAATGTGAAGTTAAGCTGCTGATGTGAGCTTCCCTGCTATTACGAGTTTTATTGGCAACAATATTCATCAGCTGTTTGACGAAGGTAAGGGCACATTTCTGTCCACGTAACAAAGCCATAACAGAGGCTGGAGAAGAACTACATGAAATTACAATCCAACTACATATTTTTTCTACCAGAGCAGTAAAAGTTTAGCTGGCTGATCTGAGCTTCCATGCGTTTTATTGCCAATTAGTGATCAGGTGATTGTCTCACCAATTAACAAAACCAAAACAGAGCGTTGGAGAGAGAGTAACTACATGAAACTAATCCAACAAAATATTTTTTTCCAGCAGGGCAGTAAAGGTTTAGCTGTCTGATCTGAGCTTCCAGCTGGAAGCTGCTGTTTTATTGCCAATTAGTGATCAGCTGATTGTCTCACCAACTTAAGGGACAGCCAAAACAAAGCACTGGAGAGAGAGTAACTACATGAAATTAATCCAACTACATATTTTACACCAAAATCCAAAGCACAGCGCTGGAGAATAAACCAATCCAACTAACCTTACATGATTTTTCAACCAGGGCAGTAAAAGTTTAGCTGGCTGATGCTTCCATGCTTTAAGCTAACGTTACGTTTTATTTACTGATTGTCTGGTAACCAGCAAAGCCAACCCACAGGCTGGAGAATAAGAAGGTGACATGAATTAATTAATTATTTCACACCACTGACGGGGGAAACACGTGACAGCTCTCTGTGATTATGGCCAGTTTCAAGCTATAGTTATCAAACAACAGCTTTCATTTGTATCTAAAGTTTGACAAACCTAAGTTAATTACCTGTCCACAACAGACAGCTTCAGCACTGCTTTGAAAACATCTGTTCCAGATTATAGCCTTCTATCTGGGAAAATCCACAACGTCGGTGATTTCTGCTGTTAGCTGTTTGTATCTGTTCGGACTCCATCTGGCTTCATGGTATAAAGATCCACAGGCTGTCGGCTCTCGTGCTAAATAACACGTGTGTGCTCGTTCATTGTCCAAATGTCACTTCAGTTCTTACTTCTAATAAACTAGAAGACTACTCAGAGACTGCTGATTGTTGTTAATATTATTATTCCCTCTTCTACAGATGCATTTAATGTAGTGATGGGCGTCTACACTGCACTGAATAATACAAGCAGAAGAAGAACGCCGTGATGACGAAACGCGCTCTGTAGAGCTGTCCGTTGTCGGCTATGGTAGAAACATATAACAAATATAAATGGCTCATTCTAAGGTAATAAAAACATAATGGCTCATTATGTTAGGTCTTTATACACCACTGAAAACATAGTTATGAATATTATATTGCATTTCTGTCAATAGATCCTCAGAAATATTACACACTGAACCTTTAAGTGTCTTGCTCAGGGACACATTGGTGTCTCACAGTGGATTTGAATCCGGGTCGCTCACACCAAATGCATGTGACTTATCCACTATGCCATCACCACCCCCCCATCAACAAGTGTTCAGGCACTGAGGGGTTTTGTTCAGGTCTCCTGATGGTTTGTGTCATTGTGGCTCTCTGGCACAGTAATACACAGCAGTGTCTTCAGGCTGCACATTCTGTCCGTTTAGAGTCACTGTGTTTCTGGAAGAGTCTAAGTCGATACTGAACTTGTTCTTTAGTGAATCTTTGTAATGTGTGCTGGAGCCAACTCTCATTCCAATCCACTCCGGTCCTTTCCCTGCAGGCTGTCTGATCCAAGCTGTGTAGTAGCCAAGAGAATAAGAGACCTGACAGGTGATGGTCAGACGCTGACCTGGCTGCACAGTCACAGAGGCTGGCTGTGTCAACTGTTCACACTTCACACCTGTGGAGAAAAACATGTTGAATTTTGAATCAGTGTAATAACAGTGAACAGTCACCTCCCCTCTGCTTACTAGGTGATATATCAGCAATCAGTCTGGAAAATAAGGAAAACAATCGATTACTCCTTGTGGCTCTAACTATCGCCAAGAAAACCATCATTCTGAACTGGAAATCACCGCCATACATATAACACATTGGAAAAACTTAATGATAGAGTACATATCCATGGAAAACTTATCTAACCCCACCACAAACATCACGATAGACTCACACTCTACCTGGACAGCATTCATTAAATTCATCCAATCCTGTTTCCATGGTTCTTGCCGAATCAAACCAACCGTAATAGACACAAATCATGTTTTGAACAATATCTACTAGAGGCCTATTTGGTCAGGGCTGGGTCCCCATATTCTTTACTCTCCACATCAAATATTCTATATTTTACACATCAAATAAATGTTTAATTTGCACATGAATGCACAGTCTCTACTTAACTGGCCCCCTCCTCACTGTCTGGGAGCAGTTTAGAAAGTGGACATGGTCACTTTGGGCTGGCTCCCTCCTAAAGGGTCTGGGAGCAACCCAAAATAGGACCAGCATCAGACAAAATTAAACAAACAAACCAACAATCTTTTAAAAGACAAACAGAGTAAAATAGGAAAACTTTCTAAGCATAAAGGTGTGCTGACCCGGCGTGCCCAACCCTTGCTGTCCCGTTGCGCTGCCCCGGGCGGCGCCCTCGCGTTACCTTACTGACAGGGCCTGAGGCCGAGGGGCAGATGACTCAAGTACTACGTATATTGTCACTTGCTGCGGTTGGGGACGGTGGCAGCAGCAGTATTCCAATTCTATTTTGACTTTTTGTTTGTATTATTATTAATAACCCGTACTTATTTGTTATTATTGTTATTGTTATCACTATTATAGTAATGATAACAAAAAGTTGTTTTTTTTTCTTCTTCGCTTGTAGTCCCCCGCCAGCCTCCTAGCCTATCTCTATTTTCTATCCAGTAGGCATCTCCCTTCCCTGACAATATGGGAGGCTTGTATTTACACACACAAGCACAAACACACACACACACACACACAAGATTAAGTCAATTTGTTTCTGCTGTTGTTATTGTTGTCATGTATATGTTTAGTTGATGTTTTTCTTTCCTTTGTCTCTCTCTTCTTCTTTCCATTGTATATTCATGTCTATATTGTGTATTTTGTCTTGCAATAAAAAAAAAGAAAAATAACAGTGAACAGTCAGTGTGCTGTGATCATACTGTCAGTGTCTCTGCCTCAGTGAGACTCACAGAATCGAGCAGCAGCAGCAGAGCTACAGAGAACATGGTTGGTATTGAAGGTGATCTGATGGGAGCTTCTCTTCTTCTGCTGCAACTGACAGCATGATATCAAGTCTTTATAGCAGACTGTGAGGAAGTTCTTTGTGTAGAGTAGGACACTGACAGGCTATTAGGGAAAGATGAACTGTGTGTCATAATTAGTCGATGCTTGGAATTGTGCTGAATATTTACATAAAAAACAACTAACAAACAAATAAGTAAATATTTACTAACATTGACAAGAGAAGTGTCTTCAACTAAAGACTCATGCCACTCACACCAAGTGTTTCACTGAGCTGCACGGGAGCTTATTCCTGTGTATGGTCATCAAACTGCTCAACTCATCCCCCTTTGTCACAGTATGGACAACTGTGGACTGCGAGGCTGCTGAGGTCCTTCTGGTTTTGCTAATTGGACTTTGTTATTACATTTTACGTAACTTCTGATACAGTGCAATACATACTGGTAACATGCTGAGGGTTTGTCATGCTGTGGCGGTTTTGGGGGGGAGCCAACAGTAAAGCCAACAAATAAATTAAACTCGCATGTTCAACGCCACGCTTTAACCAGGTTTAATTACCAAAGCTACATGGCTCACGTAAGTTAAGTTAACTGGTTTACCTTTGCTAAAAGCTAAGTTATGGCCTCTTAGTCTTAACTGTAACGTTACTTTCCAAAAAAGCTTGGTTAACATGTCATACAGTAAATTCATCCCGTTTATTATACACTAAAGCAGATTCTTACCTGTCTTTGTCCACACACAACACCGTTATGGGTCCTTCCTCAAGGGACAGCAGACTCGAAGGCGCCAAATTGTTGCTGGGCAAAATTTTGCTCAGTGATGGGGGTGGAGCTTTCCGGATGTGCGCTGCACTGCTAACGGTTTTGAAACATTTTGTGGGGAACTGTGGCAAACTTGTCTGTTCAAATTCATATAGTGCTTAAAAACCATTATTAAATTGACATTGCTTCAAAAATCCAAATAGCTTAATAGTCGTATGCAATTTGTATACAATTTGGACCTAGTGGCTGTTTAAATAAAATAGCATCCATGTCTGACATAATCAATTTTGAATTTGGTGTGGAGCCCAGCCCACATAGTTTAGCCCATTTACTGCCCATGTGGGGCCCAACAACAAAGCCCACTCTGAGCCCATGCCCAGCAGAAGCCCAACCAGCCTAAGTGAGGCCCATGTGGGCCCCAATTAGACGTGTTTGCAGGGAAGTGTCTCAACTAGTGGGATCCTTAGGACGTTACACCGCCACTGTCCAGCGTCGTGTCAAGGTAGTTATCCCTGATAGAAAGTGTTCTCCCTGCCGCTGGAGCGCAAGTTGAAGGCAGACTTTCGACTTCACGAAAGTAAATGAAAAATATAACGTGAAGTGTTTCATCCATCGTTTTAGTATTGTTTTATCAACGAGGTTTTTGCAGGGCAATCTAGCACACGCATTATACACGCTTTTACAGGGTGCCAGTGCCTCTGTAACACAGACCTTGGACCCCCTATGGCCCCCCTCTGAACGAAAAGTCTACAATAATCATAGTAATATATCTTCCTTGCGATGATATGGCACTGATGCGAAAGGCAGAACAAAACCCTGTCAACACACCCATGTGGGATGATGACCACACTGATGTGGTCTTTTGGCTTGCCACTTTCTGCTTCTCATGGATTCGCCTGACGAGTTGTTGGACAGGGTTTTGAGGCCGACAGACAAGTTTTTTCAGTTTACCTAAAAATGTCTCAAAGGGAAAAGCTGAAACACTATCCAACGGGCCGAATTTCCATGCATCTTCAAGGAATGTATGTTATAGCTGACAAATTCAGTGCCATAAATTGCAGCAAAATCTGTTACAAAGAGTTTCAAAATCTCCTCAGCATAGTCACAATTGTCAGAAGAACATAAGGCAGGACTCAGAAGAATTCTCAGAGATACCGATAAAAGTAAAAAGTTTCTGTACATTATACTGGGTATTTTATTGAGGAGAACAACAGGACCAGTGTAATGTAAAAATTGCCGCAGCTCTGTAGCTTTCCATGTGCTGAATTCGAACAAGGATCGTGGTTTCCTTGTAAAATTGCTAGGTAAATATTGCCTGATAGAAACCATATATGCGGACATTACAACAAAAAACTTCATAGATTGCCTGCATTTTAGCGGCCCCTTTAGCCAAAGAAATATTAACTTGCGCATTGCCCCCAAACACACACGGTGCATATAATCTAACACAAAACTGGTAACTAGACCTATACCCAGATCATTTAGGGGGGAGGTTGACAGTTGGTGGTGTTGATAGCCTTGCCTCCCAAATTGCTCATCTGTCCTAAGCTCTGCTGATATTACAGGATAGGCCACCTTCCCATTAATGTACAGGCCTTTTTGAGTGCACCTCTCACACCCATAATAGCCTGTATGGCCTTTGGAACATTTAAGAAAAGCACGAGCAGGTGCATCCCAAATAAAAGCATCGGGTAATGGTACCCTGAAATGTACACCATTGTACACAATTCCACTCTGAGAAACGGTTTTAGTCTCGGCATTTGTCCTCCGACTGCAACTGCTAGCGCTTTCACCGGAAAAGAGTTTACCCTACTTCCAGTCTCGACGGCCACTTTTGTGAAATAGGCCTATTGATTTCTTTTAATATGCGCGAGGGAAAGACTGCAAGACAGCGCTCTTTGAAGACGACGAGAGCGTGCGCGCACAGCCGGGCGAGGCTCTCTCTCTCTGATCGCCTCGGTAGTGTTGTTTGAATACGGTGTGGTTGCGCGCGCGCTCGAGGCCGGACGGCTCTATTTCTCTCTACTAGTTCTTAACTTATATGCGCCCAGGAGTCATTAACCGATCAAATGAGGCTTTATAATAGGTACATGAAAATATGGAACTTTGGAAAACACCGACGATTAATCCAAAATAAACAATTCACACGTTGCCTTGATGTAATAGACAAATAAATTTATGTATATAAATGAGTCCCTTATTATTACTATGGAAACCCCTTCCAAGTCGCAATTTGTTCCGTAGTGCAGCAGTTAAAAACTCTACTTCTCTGACTGCTCGCACGCTGCAGCGGCCATGGGATTCATATCCTGGCGGGAATAACCCCCACCGATAAAACATTGCTGACATGGACTTCCATCAGTGTTTTTAACTGTAAATTCAATAAGTGCAAACATTAAAATGCAACCAGCTGGTAAAAGTGAAGAAATTGTTTAACAGCTTGCTATGCCTTGCTAACAGCTCCACAACCAATCCTTCTTAACAATATATTAAAGCCAGCCACTCAAAATAAGCTCAACATATGCATAATATTGGCTTAACTTAATAAATTAAACTCGCATGTTCAACGCCACGCTTTAACCAGGTTTAATTACCAAAGCTACATGGCTCACGTAAGTTAAGTTAACTGGTTTACCTTTGCTAAAAGCTAAGTTATGGCCTCTTAGTCTTAACTGTAACGTTACTTTCCAAAAAAGCTTGGTTAACATGTCATACAGTAAATTCATCCCGTTTATTATACACTAAAGCAGATTCTTACCTGTCTTTGTCCACACACAACACCGTTATGGGTCCTTCCTCAACGGACAGCAGACTCGAAGGCGCCAAATTGTTGCTGGGCAAAATTTTGCTCGGTGATGGGGGTGGAGCTTTCCGGATGTGCGCTGCACTGCTAACGGTTTTGAAAGATTTTGTGGGGAACTGTGGCAAACTTGTCTGTTCAAATTCATATATTGCTTAAAAAACCATTATTAAATTGACATTGCTTCAAAAATCCAAATAGCTTAATAGTCGTATGCAATTTGTATACAATTTGGACCTAGTGGCTGTTTAAATAAAATAGCATCCATGTCTGACATAATCAATTTTGAATTTGGTGTGGAGCCCAGCCCCCATTTACTGCCCATGTGGGGCCCAACAACAAAGCCCACTCTGAGCCCATGCCCAGCAGAAGCCCAACCAGCCTAAGTGAGGCCCATGTGGGCCCCAATTAGACGTGTTTGCAGGGAAGTGTCTCAACTAGTGGGATCCTTAGGACGTTACACCGCCACTGTCCAGCGTCGTGTCAAGGTAGTTATCCCTGATAGAAAGTGTTCTCCCTGCCGCTGGAGCGCACGTGCATTCAAAGTTGAAGGCAGACATTCGACTTCACGAAAGTAAATGAAAAATATAACGTGAAGTGTTTCATCCATCGTTTTAGTATTGTTTTATCAACGAGGTTTTTGCAGAGCAATCTAGCACACGCATTATACACGCTTTTATAGGCAAACGTTAACGTTACATGTTATTGAACTTCATATTATTCATTGCACTGAATTGAGAATGTCTAAACAAGCATATAGTTTCCCTGTAAAGCAAACATTTACTTTGCGATAGTCTTATGATGTTATAACTGACCACGTAGTCATCCATGTTACTGTTTGGAAGCTAGATCTAGAGAGTCTGTCCCATTTTTCAAGTAAACTGCTCATACAAAAATCTACGCCATCGATACTGTAAAATCAACATCATTGTAATCAGTTTAACACATTGCTCGCCTCAACGTTACATCTACTTGACTCAAAATGCACATTAAACTGAATGCAGCGCCCCTGAGAGTCCCCCTCCCTAAAGGGTAAATTCATAGGTGTCATTTACACTGGGGACACTGGGGACATGTCCCCACCACTTTTTTAAAGGATAATTTGTTAAAAAAACGTATGAAATATAGCTTACAGTAAATAACAAATGAAAATGCCTTTAGAAAATAACTTGCACATTAAGAAAAAGTAGCAGATCTGAAAGCAACACAGAACACCTGAAAGCTGCACTGACTTAGATTCTGTTATGATTTAATATTTAGAAACGTGCCACCTGAATTTTGTGTTTCCTTTTACATAAATAAAAACATTTTCATCATAATGCAGGAATTAAAGTGTTTAAAGATCAAAATCCCCGTCCATATTGCACAGATGATGGCCTACCATCATGTATTTAATTTTGTGTATACTTCACATCATGACTAATAACAGGGGTGAATATGAACAAGTTTCTATTTTCCTAGCAAAAGTTTTAGTGGGATACAAAATACAAACTGGGATCCAGAGAAAGTCCAGTACACTAGAGCTTATCCTGTTCATTAAGCCTTACAAAGAAGAGTTGCATCAAAGAATGTACTGTAACTCCAGCTAAAGTTAACAGGAATGTTGTTGGGGTTTTTTTGGAATAATGTAATTTAATAAAACTATAACTAAGTCACAGAAAAGATCCTGTTACTGAAACAAATAACTGTAAGTTACTGAAACATACTAAAACATTACATTATATACTAAACAAGACATTTTGAAAGCTTGAACATTTCCTTGTCTCTTTTGTCCCTTATTGAATGTGCCCCTCTGACAAAACATCTGGCCCCAGCCTGGCCCCATCAATACTATTGGTGTAGAACCACCACTGTCATCATGTATATAAGGGACCGGACAAAGAACAATTAATTGTGGACTGGGTTTTGTGTAGGAAAATTGTTCTCATAAATATTTTGGTGTTCAATCTGCGAATCATCTGGAAGACTTTATTTTATTTTTACTGAAATGTACATTTTTTATCACATGCATGATATTAATCAATATCATTACAAAGATAACGTTTCACTACACTAATGCAGCATTGCATGAAACATTGCTTTAAAGGACAAACAACAAAATTGTATTTTTTTCCTTAAAAATAAAGAATAATATTTTATTTGTTTGTGTAGGTTGGAACTTCAATATTCAATAAGTCACTACTCAGACTTTCCATCACTGAGAGTAACAATCAGTATTGTGGAAAAAACAACAAATAATACTGAATATTGCCAGTGATGGTGGTAAATGGAAGAAGTTGTTTTTGTATGACTCTCCTGTTATTGTCTCTCACTGTGTCTCTTCTGGCACAGTAATACACAGCTGTGTCCTCGGTCTTCAGATTGTTCATCTGTAGATAGACTTTACTGCTGGAGATGGTGAATCTACCCTGGACTGACTGGGAGTAAGAGATAGGAGAACTAGATGTGTGTACAAGAGCAATCCACTCCAGTCCTTTTCCAGGAACCTGTCTGATCCAGTTCCAAACTGAGCTACTAAAGCTAAACCCAGATGTTGTGCAGGTGAGTCTTTGCTTCTGTTTTCAAATCTATGAACCTCCTTTAAATATGATGTAAACTGGATCCCTGTGAGAATTTGTTTACAGTAAGCTCCTCCTACATCACATTCTGCTTTTACAGTCAAATTCAACAGTATGAACACAGCATGACACAAAATAAAACAGCATTTAAACAATCTGACAACTAGCAAATAGTGATTTGAGACATCTGAACCTCCCTGACTGCGATAACCTGCTGAGTCAATTTAGAAAATGCGATTATTCACATGATTCTGATTTGAAAAGATTTGTTCTTCTAAAAATTGACCAACTCATGACTTACTTAATGGCTTCATTTCTGATGAAGTTTAATTTAGAAATCCTAGGATTATGAACTAATACATCTGATCGTAAAATTAATTGATTCATACTTTTGGTTTTATTTTCATTCTGTTGCTGCAAACACAAGTGAAGTGAAAGCAAGATAATCTGTGAATATTAGAGTTTGTTGCAGCTGGTGGAGGGCCTGGATTGTTATTTCTTTTTTTTTTACTTTAAAGATTTCAGAATATAAATTGTGGCAGTTTGAAGCCACAGACATACAGAGAAACCTGGAGCCTCAAAAGGAAATGAATTATTTAGGAAGTGAAACCTGTGGGACGATATGCAAAGAACTTACAACTGCAGTGCACAGGAAAAAGGCTGCTGGTTTATCTGTCAGATTAATGTACATGAAAGTGCAAATTCAAAATCACAATTAAGAAGAGTAAACAAAACACTAGACAATTTGAGTAGTTAAGTGAGTGTAGAGCTGAAAACAGTTTGATTCTCCATTTATTCTCTCAATCCACAGTCTCTGCAGGACTCTGTGCATATTGTAATTTTAACTCCACTCCAAACTCCTGCAAACTTAGAGTAAAAACACTTGTAGATCACAAGTTAGACAGTTAGCAAAAACAATTTATTGTTCAGCCACTGTCTTCCCTGAGGAGTCATTTTGATGAAGTGTATTGTATCTTTTAACATTAATGACATTAGTCATGTGAGTTGATTGTGGTAAAGATGAGTCCTGTAGGTTTTTGTACAGCTGCTCAACCAACTCCAGTCACTGTGAGTCTCGAGCACAATAATAAACAGCAGAATCTTCAGTCTTCAGACTGTTCATCTGCAGATACACCTGCTGTCTGCTGTTGTCTCTGGAGATGGTAAACCGGCCTTGAACTGACTGCGAGTAGGATTTGCTGCTACCACTACCATCATCAATCCAGGCAACCCACTCCAGGCCTTTTCCAGGAGCCTGTCTGATCCAGGCCATATCCCAGCTGCTGAATGTGAACCCAGAGGTTGTACAGGTCAGTCTGTGGGATTCTCCAGGCCTTTTAATCACTGGTTCAGATTCTGTCAGAGTCTGACCATCAACACCTGTTAGGACAAGAAAATAATAATTTTCATTGAGTTGGTAATGTTTTAAAGATAACTCAACTCATGATCAGTGAGAATCTTCACCTGCCCAGCAGACAGTTAAAAGCAGCAGTCCTGTCCTATAGTCCATCATGTTAAACTGTGTGTCCACTGTTCTCTGTCATCCTCTCTGCAGTCAGATAAGTAGAGGTGGAAGACATCTGAGTTTTGCATTGACTCCTCCTCACAGGGAGGAACTGGATTTTACTTGGATCTCAGTTACAGTTTGGTGAAACTGGAAAATAAATGTTTACTGTTAATGAGTCATTCGCTGACAAACACATTATTAAAGTTAGTTGCTTCTAATTAAGCACAGTCTGTTTCATGTGAAGACTGTGACAACAGTTTATCAAATTCACAATACCCCCAAATAAGTATTTTTAAGTGGGGCTACCAGCAGAGTTTCAGGAGCAGGACCACACATCAATGACGTCACTCCCGGCTTTCCATAAATCAGCCCAGGCGCTACTGCGGATTTCCCTATTGTAGCTTCCCCACAACACTTTCGAATGTCTATTCAGCTACTGCAAGCATCATACATCTTCTGTTTGTCAATAAATCATTTAATCGTATCTGTTGATTGTGGTCCTTGATAGTGAATTACATTTTAATAGAAAAACACAAACAAATAAAACCTTTACAAATATTTCTACTTTAGCATGACTATGTAATCTAATACATTTATGAGAATTAATACCCAATTATAAATTTTAATATTCAGAAAATATTAATCCATAAATCTCTTGTTTCGGGGCACCACCGGAGATGTAATTAACCCAGAGACTCCGGACCTCTGGGTAGCATTTTAATAATTATACAATTATTCACTAGTGATCAGTTAGCTAATTATCGCTCAATTATCTTAAATCAATAAGTCAGTCTCATATCGAAGGGGTAAATTCTCTTGGCAGGGACTTTGAGACAGGCAATACACACACAATTCCTCGATTACAGTGAATTTATTAACTAACTAAGGTGATATAAAAATGCGGTTACATACATCAAAGAAATAAACAATGGCTAAACAATGAGAAGGGTTCTATTGTGGGGAGCATTTGACTCATACGGCGGAAGAGAACTAATGAAAGTAAGCTATGAGTTTTAAGAGTTAAAAAGATAATCTATTAACACTATGGGACATCATGGTGGGTTGGCGGCCTGCCTTGGCCTGTTGCACGGGTCCCACGCTAGCTGCCCGATTCCTGGCTTTTTGCTAGGGAATTCTCCGGGGTTCCCCGTGTTTGGAATGAAGAAAAACCCTCAAGGATTGCCTGTCCTCTGTCTGGCAATTAGGCTGTCCTTTCAGGTGTCCTTTGTTACTGCTGGTGGGACACGTGGCTGCGTCCGACCTCCGTGAGCTTAGCTCGACGTTACTTACGAGTTACTCACACCTGGGCGTGAAAGGAGAATATCCTGTGATGTGAGGTAATTAAACAAAGAGCAAGGTCAGTTGCCATGGTTACGTGTGTGGATGGCAGTTTAGGGTTTTGATAGGCTGTTCACGAGAACGCTAATCTCTGTTCATTGTTCCTTTTGTCAGTTTAACAGTGAAGCACCGCGTTATCTGGCTGCGGCATCAAAAGGTGGCCAGTTTTACGATCAGGCTGCTCAGAGACAGCACTTAGGGACAGCGACCCTTTCACCTTTTCCTTTGGGTCTCTTCAGCCGTCTGATTGAGTCTCTCCAGACCCTTACCAAACCCCAGGTGATGTCTCTAGTTTTTGCATGTCAAAAGGCCAATCTCCAGGGGAGGAAAACTTTCCTACCCCCTCCCTTTTCCTCAGAGAGAGAGAGGGAAGGGATTTTTGTGTCTCCAAATTATTTGATATCCATACTGTTGGTACACTACACTACTGTTGATTTTTTCAATTAAGTGAAGAAAACCTTTGGGATTGTTTTTTATTATATAAGATTTTCAGGAAAAACATGAAACCCCTCAGCATATGCGTTCCATGAACAGCAGTGGTTTTCAGTCAATACAAAAAAAATCCACTGTGTTTAATTTCTTGTTAGACGAAGAGTCTTTTTAAATTTTGACAAAAAACCTTTCAGAAAAAAGCTCCAGTAAGTATTTAATATTATTATTATTGTAAATTATAATGAACCATGTTATATTAATTTAACCTTTTCACTGCTAAAAACAATGTATAATAGTATAATTTATTCTTCACTCTGAGAAAACATACAATGATGTATCATTGATTGTAATGTCAGAGTATTTAAAGTGATGAAACAGTAGCTGTTAAATTACATGAAGAACATTTAATGAAATCTGTAGACTATTTCTCACTATAACAATGAACTTATGTTGAAGTCATTAGTGGTCTGAGAGCTCCTCCTCTGATGGCTTCATGTTACAAGTGTTCAGGCACTGAGGGGTTTTTGTTCAGGTCTACTTATGGTTTCTGTTATTGTGGATCTCTGCCATAGTAATACACAGCAGTGTCTTCAGGCTGCACATTCTGTCCGTTTAGCGTCACTGTGTTGCTGGAAGAGTCTAAGTTGATACTGAACTTGTTCTTTAGGGAATCTTTGTAATATGTTGTCCATCCAAACGTGCCCTTCCAATCCTCTCCAGTCGTTTCCCTGCAGGCTGTCTGATCCAACCTGTGTGATGGTTGCTAACATCATGGAGACCACTTTTTGAAGGTCGCTATCTCGTCTCAGAATCAGACCGCATTTCTGCTCGGTCTTGTCACAGTCAAACATATTGGATATTTTTTATTTCAATACCACAACTTTTTCTCTGTATTTTCTGCAGCCGCATCTTTTAATGGACAAGCTGCTTTGTGATTTTAACTTGCCTCACCAACTTGTTTGATGGATTTTAGATGTTTTACTGTAAATTTTCGACTTTGTACATGGTTGTTCTTCAGTTTCCATATTCATCTCCACAGGTGCATCCTTTCACCCCTTCTCTTTATTAGGAAGCCCCCAGGAGAGCAGCTATTTGGTTAGGGTTTCTGATCACACTGCATTGTTGTCACTTCTCCAAAGTCCAGTATCTGAACACGGGAAGGCACTGACTGATTTTATTGCCTTGTTTGAATACAGTTTGCTTAACCTAAATGTTTTTTAAACAAAATTATTGATTTTTGAGGCAGTGCAGTGGTGCAGTGGTGCAGTGCACCGTCACCTCACACCAAGAAGGTTGTGGGTTCAAACCCTGGTTGCCCTGGCCTTTCTGTGTGGAGTTTGTATGTTCTCCCTGTGTCTATGTGGCCCTTAGGTGTAAGTGTGACTGCTTGTTTGTCTATGTGTGGCCCTGCGATGGATTGGCAACCTGTCCAGGGTGTACTCTGCCTTCTGCCCAATGTCAGCTGGGATTGGCTCCAGCCCCCCTGTGACCCTGTACGCAGGATAAGTGGTGATGGATAATTAATTATTGACTTTAGGCAAAACAGAGATGCTTCTTCAGAGAGCATCATACATAATGACAAGCAGGTAATAGAAATACTTGGGCACTCCCTTTGATGACCATCTTAAATTTGATATAATCGCAGCGGCTATTGTGAAGAGTCGGCAACAGAGAATTCTCAGAGAAAGTCCCTCTCTGTCAGGCCAGTCATCCTGTGTCGATTTTAACAGTCTTTCATTGAGATCCTCAACTACTGGTATTTTATTATTATGCATTCAGGTTCTGGTTGCACATGTTGATCGAAACCATAGAAAAAAAGTAAGCCAAAACCAGAGCAACAGCTGTTGCTTTCACATGTGTATGTTTTTAGAGTCACTGTCATTCTCTCCTTAGTTAGTGTCATCTGACTTCATATCTTCTACTGCCACCTGTAGGTCTTTGTAAACAAATGTTCTGGGGAGTTTTTGTAAAGCCTCTCTGCTTCTTTTAACCAGTGTGTGTCTTTGGCACAGTAATACACAGCAGAGTCTTCTGGCTTTAAGTTGGACAGTCTCAGATAAGCCATGTTGTTGCTGTTATCTCGGGTGACTTCTATTCGTCCTTGCACACTGCTGGCGTAATCTGTTTTGCTTGCATCGCTCCAAACACGTCCAATCCATTCCAGTGCTTTTCCTGCAGGTTGTCTTATCCAGTGCATACTGCAGCAACTAAATGTGAAGCCAGATCCTCTGCAGGAGAGACTGAGAGTCTCCCCAGGCTTTTTCACTACTGAACTGGAAGGAATGGACTCCATACTCTGACCTGTACAACCTGATGAGATGAAAGGAGAGAGGAACCACAGAAGAAAGTGAGACAGTCATCTGGGAAGTTTTCTGGGATCACTGACTGACCATCAGTCGATGTTGTCTGATAAAAGATAAAACAGCAGGAAGCAGGAGAACTCACAGGGCAGAGAGAGAGCAACCAGCAGAAGAGTGAGTGTGTTGATCATCCTGAGGCTGGAGATGTGACCTCTGATACTCCACACAAAGTACAAGAGCAGTCAGCAGGACAGAAGTACACTGCACAGACTGAAGATTTGCATCAGGATATCACGGGGAGGGAGGGGCTCATGCACAGGCTCTCTTTTAGAGTTTAATTTTACTGAATCATTTATTTATTTTCATTTATTCATGGCTTTAATGTAGCTGTAACTGATCAATGTTGGACACAATATCACATCAGAAAACAGACATTTTAATAAATTGATTTACTGATTTGTATATGTTTTGTTACTGCAAACACAAGTGAGGCTTTTAAATGTTTCAGTATTAAAATTGTGGCTGTTCAAAGCCACAGACACTTGGAGCCTCAAGAGGAAATGAACTACTTAAGAACTGAAACCTGTGTGACAATATGCAAAACAACTAATTACTGTAGTGCACAGGAAAATATCTGCTGGTTGACCTGTCAAATAACGTATGTGAAAGTGCTCTTTTATCCATCCATCCATCGTCAACCAATTTTAGAGATACCGTTTAACCTTTGGATGGTGGGAGGAGTGCTCTTTTATATCACACTTAAATCTTAGATTAGACATTTGAAACCATTGGATTACACAAATGCAGTTTATTATTCAGCTAATGTCTTCTTAGAGGAGTTGTTTAATGAAGCTCTGTTATGGAATAAGCAAAATGTGCCCATTAAGAAAATTTTTTTCTACATTCACATCTCTGTTTAGAAATATTTCCCAAATCAAAGAGTAATGGTTCTCGCAAAGTGTTTGTTGTTACTCTACTGTATCATTTTCTTCAACTACTACTTAAAGTAATGACATTTATCAACTGAAACACTTGTGTTAAAATGAGTACTGTAGGATCAACCGAGCACAATAAATAAAACTTAAAAAAAAAAAAATAAGACTTTTCATCTGAAGAAACACCTGCTCTCTGCTGTTGTCTCTGGAGACGGTAAACCGGCCTTGAACTGACTGAGAGTAGTATTTGCTGCTACTGCCACTATCGATCAAACCAACCCACTCCAGTCCTTTTCCAGGAGTCTGCCTGACCCAGCCCATGCTGTAGCTGCTGAATGTGAATTCAGAGGCTGTACAGGTCAATCTGGGGGATTCTCCAGGCCTTTTAACAGCTGGTTCAGATTCTGTCAGAGTCTGACCATCAAAACCTGTCAACAACTTGGATCTCTAGTGTTTGGTGTACAGCATGGTCATTTTCATAACATATCAACATAAACTTCAAATCAATAATGTCAACACAAATATTTCTTTAAACTCGACATATTGTTCCTGTGCCATACAGTGTTTTTGTCATTATTTTTCACTCCCAAATTGTGACCGACTTGAGAAGTCAATAAATATTTACATGAATGTGGCTAAAATGTATACATGTATTTATTTTATTCATACCTGGATAAAAAATTTCAGCAGTGTTTGCTGTCTTTGGCTGTTTTGTAAAGTAACATTTTTAGATATGTGTTTATCGTTTTTGCTTAATGATGATCTTTCTCAGGGCCAATTTTCATTATTTTATTAACAACAACAACAAAAGCTGATGACAGAATTAAATTATAATAAAAGTCTTTCTCATGATCGATAAGCAAAGTGAGGACTAGTACTGTAGGATTTTGTACAGCTGCTCAACCAACTCCAGTCACTGTGAGTCTCGAGCACAATAATAAACAGCAGAATCTTCTGTCTTCAGACTGTTCATCTGCAGATACACCTGCTGTCTGCTGTTGTCTCTGGAGATGGTAAACCGGCCTTGAACTGACTGAGAGTAGTATTTGGTGCTTCCACCATTATCATTCCAGGCTACCCACACCAGTCCTTTTCCAGGAGCCTGTCTGACCCAGGCCATATGGTAGCTGCTTAATGTGAATCCAGAGGCTGTACAGGTCAGTCTGTGGGATTCTCCAGGCCTTTTAACCACTGGTTCAGATTCTGTCAGAGTCTGACCATCAACACCTGTTAAGAGGAGAGGAAACACCAAAGGAAATTAGCTGGTTACCTAAATAAAAGATATGCTAAATTAAGATCAGTGAAGATCTTCACCTGCCCAGCAGACAGTTAAAAGCAGCAGTCCTGTCCTATAGTCCATCATGTTAAACTGTGTGTCCACTGTTCTCTGTCATCCTCTCTGCAGTCAGATAAGTAGAGGTGGAAGACATCTGAGTTTTGCATTGACTCCTCCTCACAGGGAAGATACTGCTGGATTGGACTTGGACATCACCTGTTCTTACTACTGTGACTCGAGCCAAATTAATTTGGTTTATACGTCTGAATTTAAATCCGAATTGTTCTGAGAAGTTAAATTTTGTGCTTTGATTTTTATTGTCTGAAATTAGACTTCAGGTTATTCATGAGTAACAGAACAAACTACAAGCAAAAATGCACAACTGAAAAGCAAACCTTTAAAAATAGGTTTTGCAGCCACATTAATATTGTCGGATGTCAAAGTTCTACCCACTTTCCGTTTTTATTATCGTGACGCAAAACATAACAGCGGAATAAAAAGAAAACCTTTAGGAGAAATCTTATGTTGTTTGCTTCTCTCATCTCAAACTAAGCCCGAGTTGAATTTTATACTACATAAAGTGAAACAAATTTAAAAAACATAAATTAATATTTGTTTCTGTATTGAACATCACCATAATTGGTAAAGACTACTGTTTCAATTACTGATGCAGTATTGATACAGATAATTATGAGTTTTATTTTATATAAGTAAAGATTTTATGGAAGAGAAACTGACTGTCTGGAAATCTGTTTCTTGTTAGATGATGAGGATTTAAAGCTAGGTTGTCAGCTGACTGTATTTCATTAATTGAAAGATTTAATATTCATTTATTTTTCATTGTGGGAAAAAATACTTATCAGTGATTGCAATGTCAGAATTTAGAATGAGAAAATTAGGATAATTAGATTTTTTATTGCATAATAAAACTCTAAAGACTGTTTCTCTCTGTAACAGTGAACTGGTGTTGAAGTCATTAGTGGTCTGAGGGCTCCTCCTCTGGTGGCTTCATGTTACAAGTGTTCAGGCACTGAGGGGTTTTTGTTCAGGTCTGCTGATGGTTTGTGTTATTGTGGATCTCACAGTAATACACAGCAGTGTCTTCAGGCTGCACATTCTGTCCGTTTAGAGTCACTGTGTTGCTGGAAGAATCTGAGTCAATACTGAACTTGTTCTTTAGTGAATCTTTGTAGCTTGAAGTGCATCCAACACATCCACTTCCAATCCACTCCAGTCCTTTCCCTGCAGGCTGTCTGATCCAAGCTGTGTAGTAGCTGCTAAGAGAATAAGAGACCTGACAGGTGATGGTCAGACGTTGACCTGGCTGCACAGTCACAGAGGCTGGCTGTGTCAACTGTTCACACTTCACACCTGTTAAAAAAGAAAATGTTTTGTAACAAATGATCAAGTTATACTGCAAAAGAAGAACTGCTGACTTTGTCAAATCCAGAGAGACTCACATCCAGCTGCCAACAGCAGCAGCAGAGCTACAGAAAACATGGTTTATGTTGAAAGTGACGTGCTGTGAACTCCACTGACAGCCTGATGGGAAGTTTTTATAGCTGAGTAACAAGGAAGGTCACTGAGTTTGCATAGAATCAAACACATGAAGCATCAATGTTGGTCTAACTGGAGCCAATAGAAGAGTCTGTTGACTGTTATTATATCTGCAGAGTGAAAACATGCCTGGAAATCACCTCTGCTTTACATATATTTTCATTTCAATGCAAATTATTTCATTATAACCATTCTTAATGGAAATATTAACATGAATCATGGATAATGGAAAACTTCATAAAAATAATATTGCTGTAAACTCAAATACAGTGACAGCAGCCGGGATCATGTAGATGGTATAAAAATTTAAGTCTGATGCTGCTGGTTTGAAGAGTCGCATATAAGACGATGATGAATAATTTTAGAGTTCGCAGATGTCAAAGACATCGTTTCAGGAGGAAAACAGCTGCTCAGGAACTGAAACGTGTGTGACTAAATGCAAAAAACATTTTTTTTTATATATTAGAAAAAACTAAAGCAGTTCACGCATTTATATGTTACTTTATGTGATTATACCTACATTTTACATTCATCTGTGTCTGATTATGTCAGAAATAAAAACGTTTATCAAATATCATGCTATGTGGTTAATTGTTGTCGGGATTTATTAGGTTTGTTGTATAAAAAAAAAACTACTTAAATATGCTGGCGTCCTTTTCAGTTCAAAATGTGCTGAATCAAGTTAACACATGACTTTTGTTTAGGGTAGAAAAGTATCAACTATCACAGTATCCAGTGTACATGTTAATCCTTAGTTCAGTCCAGAGTTCAAGTGTCAGTTAAGATCAATGAGAACAGCAGATCTGAGTGTCTCCTTTTAGAAACTTGACACTGACTGCCCTTTAGTGATTTTCTGAAAGAAACTGCAACATTTATTGTCACTCTCATATTATGACTCACTTTAGATTCCACATAATTTACAGACAATAAGGTATCTAAATTTGTATAAGTGTTTGTTTTTTGTAGTAGATTCATTTCAGTAACCATAGTGTTGTGCTGTCTTTGGCCTTTTATGAACAAGGGGTGGTGATGGTGCAGTGGAAGACACATGCCTTTAGTGTGAGTGACCTGGGTTCAATTCCCCACAGTGATACATCCACCAATGTGTCCCTGATCAAGACACTTAACCCCTAGTTGCTTAAGAGGCCTGTAAAAAATAAATGTAATGTCAGTGATCTTTGTTAAAAAGGCCACCACCACTTGGAACCTTCCACCCCCTATCTTAAAGTAGTACCTTCCTTCCCCCTCTTAGTGGCGTTTCCACCAAAAGTACAGCTGGCTGTAGGCCTGTACGCCATACAAAGTGATGCACACGCATCATTATTTAGTAACCACTACCCATGAGCAAAATTTATAAATGAACATAATGGAATATAATGAAAAACTATAGGCTTTGCTTGAGTGGAAGTATAATGAAGAAACACATGATAAGGTTTGTGACAAATTTAACAAACTGGATAAAGCCATCAAGTTCTTAAAATACCTTCAGCACAGAGAAAGCAACACAAAAATAAAATTACGACAGTTTGGAAGGTTAGCCGACAGAGACGGCACAGACGTCAGTGCTGCAGATCAACTGCAGCACTGACGTCTGTGTCCACATGAGTGTCAGAGGAACGGGATGTTTAACAAGCTTTATTACCTGCTGCAATCAGCTGTTCCGCTTCGGCTCTGAGAAAAACTTCCTGACTGATGAAATCTTCAACAACTTCGGCCTCAGTATTTAGCGTAGCTCCATCAGCTGTTCCCCTTCGAGGGAACTCGAACTGCGTCGGTGACGACACTACGGGAACGCCTCTGGGCGTGGCAGGGCTGAACTATGAATGAAACTACTCCAATCCTATTGGTGTTTCTAGAACGGTAGTGTGTGACGGCATAACCGGAGGGGGTATATAAGCACGCCGGCACATAGGACACATTAGCTTCTTTCTATTTAGCAGGACACTCTGGCTATGTTTAGAAACACCATTTTCCAACTGACGTCGAGACGAAGCAGAAGATCATGTCGAAGCGACAGTGTGTCTTTCCATGTGAGCGTTTCATCACGGAGGGTGATACCCATGAGATGTGCGTCTCATGCCTGGGGATGTCGCATGCTCATGCTACCATTTTTCCAGATCTACACAATGAGCCCCCCGGGAAGACAGATCTGAGGACCGTCATTCAGTCTCGGCAAGCCCGGGGGAAGAGGTCCTGAGACCTCGAGTAGGGGTTCGCCCTCGGGGGCATGGCTTACCAGTATCGGGTTCTTCCGTTCGGCCTAGCACTATCTCCCCGCACGTTCACCAAATGCATGGATACAGCTCGGGCTCCATTGAGGCTCCAGGGCATCCGCATACTAAACTACATCGACGACTGGCTCGTCCTGACCCAGTCTCGAGAGTTAGCAGTTCGGCATCGAGATGTGGTCCTCGCCCATCTTCAGCGTTTGGGGCTGTGGCTCAACACGAAGAAGAGCGTGCTGACACCCGCCCAACGGACTACATTCCTAGGGGTGGTGTGGGACTCAACGACGATGCGGGCCCACCTGAGTCCATTTTGTCCTCAGTGACCAGAGTGCAGTTAGGCCGCGCCATCACTGTAAAACACTTTCAGAGGGTGTTGGGTCTCCTGGCAGCAGCATCCAGTATAATACCTTCCGGACTACTGCACATGAGAGCCCTGCAATGGTGGCTAAAATCCAAGGAATTCTCCCCGAGGGGAAATCCGCTCCGTCTGATACGGGTTACGAGCGGGTGCCTTCATTCCCTGTCTGTATGGAGGAAATCTTGGTTCCTGTCCCAAGGTCCCGTGTTGGGAGCGATCTGTCGCCGAACAATTATTTCAACAGACGCCTCACTCACGGGATGGGGCGCGGTCATGGACGGCCGCTTCGCGAGAGGCTCCTGGGAGGAGCATCATTTCTCTTGGCACATAAATTGCCTGGAAATGTTGGCGGTTTTCAGAGCTCTGAGGAGTTTTCTGCCCACCCTCCGCGATCGCCACATCCTTGTCAGAATCGACAATACAGCAGTGGTTGCCTATTTGAATCACCAGGGGGGTCTGCGCTCGCGCCCGTTGTGCGAACTGGCACATCAGATCCTCCTGTGGTCCCAGCGGAGACTGCTGTCCCTCAGAGCGATGTACGTCCCTGGGACCCAGAATCAAGAAGAAGACCTGCTGTCGAGACAGGGGCTGAGATCCGGGGAATGGAGACTCCACCCCGAGGTGGTGGAGTTATTATGCGAAGAGTTCGGCCCCATAAACGTGGACTTGTTTGCGTCCCGAGAGACGGCGCACTGTCCCCTGTGGTTCTCCCTCTCGCCCCCAGCGAGGGCTGGATGCCATGGTGCAGACGTGGCCGAGGATGCGTCTGTATGCGTTTCCCCCAGTCGCTCTGCTCCCGGGGGTTCTGGAGCGGGTCTGCCAGGACGGCGTCAGTCTACTACTAGTAGCCCTGTTTTGGCCGGCATGAGTGTAGTTCTCGGATTTAATATCGCCTGGCAGGTCCCTCTGAGGAGAGTCTCTTATTTATTTCTCTCTCTGAAATGGAATATTTTGACTTGTTTGACATATTAACTTAACTTGCTATTATTTTTGTCACTGATTCTCATTAACAATAATCAACAGCATAATCTTGCCTCCATCCAGTCTGCAATGTGTTTGATAGTGATTTAGTCTGTCCTGCACGCTGCAACGCATACGTGGAGATGGAAGAGATCAGGGACTCCTCCTCACAGGGAATCACGACATTTCTCACACTGTTTTTTTTTTTTTTAATCACTGTCATACTCTCCTTAGTGTCATCTGACTTCATATCTTCTACTGCCACCTGTAGGTCTTTGTAAACAAATTTGTAAACAAAAGTGTGTATGTGTGTCTTTGGCGCAGTAATACACAGCAGAGTCCTCTGGCTTTAAGTTGGACAGTCTCAGATGCACCATGCCGTTGCTATCATCTCTACTGACTTCTATTCGTCCTTGCACACTGCTGGCATAATTCCTGCTGGCATTGGAGAAGCCGCTACCTATTAATTCCAGTGCTTTTCCTGCAGGTTGTCTTATCCAGCTCATAACAAAGCAGTTAAACGTGAAGCCAGATCCTCTGCAGGAGAGACTGAGACTCTCCCCAGGCTTTTTCACTACTGAACTGGAAGGAATGGACTCCAAACTCTGACCTGTACAACCTGATGAGATGAAACGAGAGAGGAACCACAGAAGAAAGCGAGACAGTCATCTGGGAAGTTTTCTGGGATCACTGACTGACCATCAGTTGATGTTGTCTGATAAAAGATAAAACAGCAGGAAGTTATTCATTTATTTTGCATTCACGGCTTTAATGATGATATGCAAAAAACTAATTACTGTAGTGCAAAGGAAAATATCTGCTGGTTTACCTGTCAAAAAATGTATGTGAAAGCGCTTTTATATCATTAAATCTTACATTAGTTTTCTCAGAGGAGTTGTTTAATGAAGCTCTGTTATGGAACAAGCAAGATTTGCCTTTCAAGAAAAAGTATTTCTACATTCACATCTCTGTTTAGGAATATTTTCCAAATCAAACAGTAACAAATGTTTGGTGTTATGGTATTGTATCATTTTCTTCAAATGCTGCTTGAAGTAATAACATTTATCATCTGAAATAATTATGGTAAAGATGAGTTCTGTAGAATTTTGTACAGGTGCCCAAATGAGCATAATAATAAACAGCAGAATCTTCAGTCTTCAGACTGTTCATCTGCAGATATACCTGCTGTCTGCTGTTGTCTCTGGAGATGGTAAACCAGCCTTGAACTGACTGAGAATAGTATGTAGCATGTCTACTTGTGTTTTTAATAAATCTATGAGAATTAATACAAAATTATGAATTTTAATATTCAGAGAATATTCATTCATAAAGCTCTCATTTTGCGGGGCAACACCGGAGATCTAATTCGCCCAGAGTCTCCGGACCTCTGGGTAGTGTTTTAATAATT